ATAAAATTACCCGTTTCTTCGCGGAGACGAGCTTTCCTATCTTCGGATGGGAATCCGGAATTTCTGCGGCAGCCTCTGGAAATTCTCCGGGTACCGATTTCTCCTCGATCAATGGCGAGTATAAATAAATAACGTGCAGGTAACCCTCCTGTAACACGGTAGATAGGTTCCTAGGAAATGCCGTGATATGTGAAACCGTGTTGTACGAGACCCAAGAAACGGGCCATGGAGACCTTCGGTTGGATCTCATATCCATGCCAGACCTGAAGTGGCCCAAGAGTAATACGCCAAATCGGGTATCTCCCCGGACGTACTCCTTAAGCCTACTAGGGTCAAGTGCGGGTTGACTTCCTCCGCTGGTTGGACCATGCTCTTTTCATTGGTATGATGATCTAAAATTCGCAACCAACATCTGCCGCTATATCCAAAATGGACCAGGTACGTCAGAGCAGCGCATAGGCGCCGAGAAGCTTAAGAAACAATAGTTGTACGAGACCCAGAGCCAGTACAAAAAGTGAGGTTATGTTCCGAAAACTTATTAAAAACGAATTTTTCTTTAATTCTACACAAGCAACTTAATTTTGATTAAAAATATAAATGTATGTACAACACAAAAGGAAAATATTATTTTAATTTAATGCAACTTTAATTTAATAAATTTCTTCGTCGTCACTGCTCGGTATAATCAACCGAGAACGTTTTTTCGGGGGAATGATGTCGCCTCCATTTTCAGAACTATTTTCTTCATTTAAAGTTCTTGCATCTTCTTCCCTCTCAAAAAAATCTGTAATTTCACTTTGCTTGCTGGTTCTTACCAGGTCGTTGCAAATTTCTCGGTATAGAGCTGAACAGTTTTGCAGCTCCCTTTTGAATTTTCGGCTTCTTTCAGCGGAAGGGTCCGCATTCAAGACAAATGACTCGAGATTTTCAACTAAGCTTAGGCCTTTTTGTAATTTTTTAATGTTAAATTATTAACTGCACGATCTTCGTCAGTGCCGGTGTCCTCAGAATCGATTTGATTTACAGCTTCAGGTGACATTTCCATCAAATCCGTTATAGTGAAACCGCGTTATAGGATGCCGTGTGTTGGAAATTCGATTTGATTTACAGCTTCAGGTGACATTTCCATCAAATCCGTTATAGTGAAACCGCGTTATATGCCGTGTGTTGGAAGTATCAAGGGGGTATCGCGTCGTTCCCTTGATCTTCCTGGGTTCCGCCCGAAATAATTCGTCTTCGCGGTTGTAAGATATCCCGATGTGGATGGACGGTTCGATGCGACACGTACCTCGTCGACTTAAGGAGGAGATACGAAAATCGTCTCGTGTTTGAAGAGAACCGTCGTTTCTGGCGTGTCGAAAGGAAGAAGTTTAGAAGGAACCGGTGTCTCTCGGATCTCGTACGGAACTGAGCTCCTCGATCTTCCTAAGATCGTCCTTAGGACAAATCGGGAGCTCGCCAAATATGATTGGCTGTTTTTGACCAAGGGCGTTCCCTTGGTTCGCGAATCCGTGACCTTGGAGATTGAGGGAAGGTTCCCCCGAAAAACAACGATAGTGGAGGAAACCCTCTCCTCCAAGGTGGGGTACCTGGGGTTCACCCGCGCGCTGGTCAACCCATCGGTCGTTTGTTACCCCTAGCGAAGGCCTGAGGCTTCCAACGTGTGCGGACCACGTGGAGCCCTCAGGCCTATTGTCAGCCAAGTCTTAAGAGCCGTCGCCTAATTTCGTTAAATTAGGGATTTCCAGGATTCTCGTGTTCCGCGACACGAGAAGTCAAAGAAAAAAGATAAAGCAGTCAAACACGCTGAAGGCATGGAACAGGAAATTCCGATGCCGAATTGTTTGACCCTAAGACCTGGCTGTTGGAAGACCGTAACGGGTCTTCTTTGTTCCACGACGGAACACCGTGTTGTAGGAGGATTGCCGCAATTTATGAATCGTGTTATAGGATACCTGCACATCAAAATTACGGTGAAATTGAAAACAAAATACTTGGTCTCAAGCTCACCGAGTATAAAATATACGCTGAGAAAAAGCTGCTGGAATTTCTCGGGTCAGATCTCTCAGCTTATGGTCGGGTAATTGAAATCGCGCGGAACATAATTTTACTCCGGGATAGATCTTGATCGCGGGTCTGCGGAGTGATCGACGGTTGGGTTCGAAGATAACGAGGCGTTCGAGGGAAATAGGAATTATTTTCTCACCAACGCGCGCTGCCATTATGGCGATGAGTGGCAAGACTCTTCCACTGGCCATCGCGGGGGAACAGTTCCTAGATGCAAAACGAGGAAACGTAATTGGGACCTCGCGTCTTCCTTTTATTTCCGATACACTTTCGTCGGAAATAATCACGGTTGCAAACCGATATTGTCGCTGATCTCTCCTACTTCCCGATATTATTCTCCGCGATACCAACCACGCTTTCTCCGAGTCTCGTTCCGAAGCTCAGAAATAAATACTTCAGGAAAGGAAAGTTATATTTATTCGACTGGTCCGCTTTCTCCGCGACTGCCATAAGTTTCGCGCAAACTATTCCACGGAACGCGTTCGCTTCGTAATTGCTGATTGAACGAATAGCGTGATTTGTAAACCGTGGATGAGGAAGGCTTGACGGGATGCTGAGGTACAATGATACTGTTCAACGCGAATTTTAACCCTTTGCACTAGACGATTTTTTGACTAGAGAAGAGTAGAAATTCAAAGATTCTCTACTGACAAAACTGACGATACTTTTTTGAGCAGTAAATAAAGAATTGTATAATAATAGAATTGTAGAATTATTTAATTATTACCTCGTACACTGTTAGATTACATGAAATTTGATATATTAATTAATATCGATCTTCCAAATTTTATGAAATGGTGACTGAAACTCACCTCTCGAGTGCAAAGGGTTAATATATTTATTATCGCGAATTTTCCACCATGTATACGTAGCTTTACTGAGGAGCGAAACTCAGGTCAATTGGGAAGAACCCTGAACGATGCATCGAGCCCTTAACATGACCAAATATGGAGGCATCGGATCTATATAAAGAAGGTTAACCCATTCGAGACCGATTGCGTACCGTGTGTACAATAATAATAATGAGCATTTATCAGTTATTCTGAGTAGTCGCTACTGGGGACCGTGTTCGAAAAAAGTTGCCGTCTCGAACAGGTTAAGAGTGGTTGGATGACAGTTTTGACGATTAATTATTGCAAGCTGAGTTGTTATTGAATTGTAAAATTGAATATTATATTAAGTTGAGAATCGATCTAGATTCTTGTAAATAAATAATTCGTATGTTTAATCATCACTCGTACACGTTTATAATTTATTAATAAATTACCAACACCGTCAATCTCTACATATGTGTGGGGGGTTCTCCACCGTTCTTCCATCGTTGAAAACGATGCTAGAAGCTACGAAAAGAAGTCCAGGGGCTCCTAGTGGACTCATCGGTAAGGCTATCCTAGCAGCCTCTGTCTTAGACTACTTAGGGGTACTTAGGAGAATTTGAAAATTGCGTATACAGGAAACAGAGGGTTTTTACCGAGGACTTGAGAAAAAATCCTCGAACCTCTTTTTAAATAGGAATTCATCTACTTTCTGGGTTGAGAATAATGCCGCTACATATGTCTTGTAATATCCATTGGGTAATACTTGTACTGCAATAGTCTTCTTTCCTGAAAACGAATCGAGTTTGGATTAGGTTTAAAGCGAAGTTTCACGCGAAAATTATAAATCTTAGATTTATTCTCATCTTAAAATTCAACTGGGAGTTTATTTTCGACAAATTCATGTTAAAAAGTCATTCGTAAAGAGCGAGGAATCATGGCTTCTTAGAAGAACTCGCATCTGTCTGAACCCGAAGTTGATAGAGCAATTTAGATCACGGATTCGTGTTCAGGGAAGCAGACTGTACAATCATCGCCTAATGGATATTGCAGATTAGAGAAAAAGTTAAAATTTGTTAGACAATGTAATCAACGAACCGCGTTACGGGGCGTTTCCCTGTTACGAGTGAAGGCGAGACGGCGAAGGGAACTGAATCACCACGATTCCATCTCCGTTGCGTATTGCCCGTTGCGTAACTTCTCCAATCCACGGCCATTTACCAGCGTAACCTTCGCGGCAGGGAGAACGAATCCTTTGAAGTTGCTCGCGATCGAAGGAGCAATTCCGGCCTGCGAATCCAGCCGATGCGATGGTTGTTCTCGTCGCAGAAAGTGGGAAGCAACTGCGATAAGAATGCGAGCTTGCTTCCCTGACGGATGCTATTTATTAAATCCGCCATTTTGGCGAACGAAGGGGGATCAAAATTTTGCCATTACTATTAAAAATTTTAGCAGACCGGAGAATTTTGGAAACAACTTTGAACCATCACGCGCGCGAGTACGTTGCTTCGTTGGAATTGGTTCGGGGATCCCGAGGGTGCTCTGAACGGGGTGAAACGGACGTTTTATATTTAAGGGGGATCGAAGGATCGATGTCGCGTGCGTGTTTCGGTCGCCTGTTCCAGGGGTCGTTGATAGCGTACGCTGGAACCAGGATCCATCAGCATCGAGCACACCATAGGCCACGCGTGATTGGTATCGACTCGCACGGCCCAAGGACTATTACTGTCCATTCTGCTGATCTCAAACTTGCCAATAGCACGTTGATACATCTCGTGGCTATTAAATTTCGCGACTCGACGCTTGTCTAGCGAAACTCGTGACACGGTCGTTTAAACGTCCCGCTCGAAAAACGACCAATTTCCGCATGACCACGGTTTTCGATTGCAAATCGGGCGTTCCGTCGCTGCCGCGGTGCAAGTTCCTTTCTAACATCCATCTCGCAAAGTCAACTTCGTAACTCGGGGCGACGATGGAGAGTAAATGTTTCGCGCGGCGAAGGGAAATATCGGATCGAAGATTGCCAAAACTAATTAGCCTGTAGCAGCAAAGGGGTGGCTTTCGGGCTGGCTCGAACAACGGTTCGTTACTCAACTGTGTATCGTCTTTTCGTTGCAGGTGCGAGGGTGGCTGGCTGCAGCTCGAGGGTGGCGCGAGGGTTTGCGGCCGCAACGAGCGTTTCGATCGACCGGTCGTCCTGTTCTCCGACCAATCGGTCCCGACCCTCCATATGCAGTGAGTATACCTATTACACCTATGTTATATACGCATGGCCGTTATTATCACTCGCGTGCCGACTTATTTCAGTCGCAGCTCGATGCTGGCAAAAGTTAGGGGGAGGGGGGCTGCTCGAAAAATATTTAACCGGCTGTTCTCCTATTTCGCGCTCGATCCTCGCTGTTCTGTCGAACAACTAACGTATTCGCGACGAAGGAATCAAGCTTTTCGTGTATTTTTCTGTCTCTTTTTATAATAATTTCCTTTCGTTTTGATATATTTTAGGGTTGACGGTGCACGTGCGACACACGTGCAACCCCGTTCGAATTACGCGATATGGATAATTTACAGGCTGAAACCTCGAGAAGCTTCGTAACGCGTCGTTAACGGGGCCGTTGATTTAATAACTGCGGATTACTCGAGTATTGGGGTAGAAGAAAAGGGTGAGAAACGAGGGCGAAACTGGTAGCGAAAGGGATAGGTAGTAGGTTAGGGAAGAAACTAAAGCGGAAGATCGTTGCAATCGCGATACGATTCGCGTTAGTTACAAACCCCACGAACTGTAATGGAAGAGTGCAATCGGAATGAATTGCTGCTTTACGAAATCGATTTAACATCGTTGCGCGAATTACCGTGGACGCAGAGGCCGACAACGATACCGGGAAAGAGATAGAATTCTGGCTCCATTACGAAATAGGAACACGTTCTTGGCTAAGTGCTTCTTATTACTCCTACCCGGCACCGTTTCACTTAGCCGAACGAACAGCGAAAGCGTTCGCGTATCGAGTTTTACCCTTAAACGCCCCTCGCTGTTAACGAAAAAAATCCTTCCACCCCGTTTCTGTTATTTTCGTTTCAATTTTCGAGCGTACACGCGCAGTGGCTTCGGTTGCGGTCAAAGAAATGAAATACGAAAGGAATTAAACAGAAAAGAGGTATTCGAGGAATATACTCCTCGGCTGAAGGAGACCCTCCAGTAATTAATTGGCTCTTTTTCCCTTTGTCCGCCATTCACGCGACGTTATCCGGCGTTTTTACGTGCCTTCATTTAAATGCAAATTAATTTACCTTCTCACGAAACGGAACGGCTTCCCCATCGTCGACTGTTTCCAGGCCGCGATTACTTTTCGTTAGGAAGATCGTGTCGGGCGTTAAACTTCCCCCTCGATCGTCAAGCATTAATTGCGTCCTCCTAACGCGATTAATACTCGCGACTGGTTCGACCACCTTCTACCCTCCGTCCGAGCGAGTCGTTAACGGTGGATGATATTTAATTCACGGTGTAAGCTACTTTCCAAAGCTATTCGATTAATTGAGAAAACAAATGAAGACGTTGGTACTGGAATCTTACAGCGTCTGATTATTTGAAACAAATAGTGCCCAGGTATTTCTCTTAATTAGCAGCGTTATCGATTGCTCGAATTTTCGAGACAACCTGGCACCTCGTCTCGCTTAGGATTCGCCTAAAGGATTCGTTCAGAAATGTCCGCGATATTTATTATCCAACCTCTTAGCACGATTAACCTCGTTGCGAGCACTCGGCGAGCTATATCACCCTTGAACCGTTCTTCTGCATAATTCCGGCTATTTTCCTTGCGGCAATGACGAAGATGGAAATTCGTCCAAACAATTCCCTTTCCGACTTTCCGAAAGCGGGTAATTCGTAATTATTCGGGCATCTGAATAATTGATTAACGGGTTAGAGCAAGAGTGGGGAACGAGAAGATCGCAGAGGCGAGAGGTCTGAACGCGGAACAAAGCAGGTGGAACGTCTTGGTCGCTCTCGATCGTTAATCGACGACGGTGCATATATCACTCGGAGATGCCGAAAAACGCTTTCCCTTGCGCGAAACTCGTTAAATATTTATGGCGGAATCGCCATCCGCGATGTATACTCGAACGTGATCCTATAAATAAAACATCGGCGTTTTCGTTACGCATCTTGCGCTCTTTTTCCACGTTTCTTCGTCCCCTCGCGATTATTTCCTCGCGCTGAAAGCGTCTTCCACGATTTTCACAGTTCCCGGGAAAGCTTTCGCGATCGGTTTTCATTTCGACGTTGCTCAAACGTGCAGCTGAAAATGGAAGCTTTGCGTAACTTTCCTCGGCGACTTCGTTAGCGGGAATGATGCTAATACTCTTATGAAATTTTCTTCTTACGTCTGGTAATTTATAACGTTGTCCGTTTCCTGGCCCCTGCTCTTCTCCCCACTTCCACCCCCGCAGGCGTCCGGCCAATTTGTTTACTTCATTACGAGTTCTTGCTCGCAGTTCCTTTGTATTTTTCTGCTTTGATGTCGCCAGTTAATGCTCGCTTAAGCTAGCACAGCTTAGAGCTCGAGCAAGGATTCTTTCGCGATGCTGGAACGTCGCCTCGTCCTTTCAACCCTGTTCGATAACGAGACGAATTGCGTCATTCGAGCTGCGCGAGGAAAAATGGCGACGAAAGTACGGAAGCATTATTTTAATGATCAAACGAATGCGAGTACTCCCCGCGACGACGTTCATTGTTTCGACATACGGGTACGTCCACGTAGTTACTCAGCCGTTTTGTCATAAATGGCACGCATGCAGGGGCAGGGGATGAGTTCCGCCATTTTTCAGAACCGACACAATAGCGCATGTCAATTTTCCACGTTCACGGGATTTTTCGAAACACGCGGGTGACTCCCAGTTTTATAAGCGACACAATAGCGCATGTCAACTTCTCCTGCCCCGAAAATATTTCCCGAAATCCCGAATTGACCTTCCGTTTTTTAAACAGGCTACTCTGGCGTGTATCTTTGAACGACAGTTATAACTGTCGTTATCGAAAAGTGACTTTGATCACGGCAGACGCAACGAGTTGCCAATCCGCGTCCATCAAATGTCAGAGATGAAAGAGAGGGTTGGAAAAATTCGCGATGTCGGGTCTATTGGCAGGGGTAGCTTAAACCGCAGACACCTAATGATTCCTGTTTTCAATTTCCAAGTCTGCTGGATACAGAGGGTCGACTTCGATAGCTCGTGTCGATCTTCACCGCGAATTCGTGGTCATCCGTCGTGTCACAGTCGCCGTGTTTCCCATCTAATCGCGGGGATTGGCAATTTTACAGGCAAACTGACAATTCGCCGGGCGGTGTAGCTCGAAATAAATAAATCGAGCCGATTGCGCGTGTAATCGGACTCGGTTTCTGCGGTCGCGCGACGTTCATGCGACCGACCTAGGACGGTTCATCAATTTCATAAATTGTCGCGCGATCAGCCGGAGCGGATCCGCAATAATCGAACTAGCTGCGGACCAACTTTGTTTCCGTTGACCGTATTGCGGTGACGTTAATTGGAAAGTAGGGAATCGGCCGATTAACCCTTTAGTCGGCCAACCGTAATCGCTTCGGATAGATTCGTTCTGCTGCGTCAAGCTAGAAAATAGGATGAGCAGCGTTTCCCTTAAGGTGCAGGTAATCCGTGTTAATTGAAACGCTAAGAGACTATCCGTCGATATTTTTCTAGGAGAATTAGGAACGAGAGATCGTTCGGTTGTTGCGTTCTTCCTTTCTACGTAAGATCCTTTTTCATTTTATTCTTGACATCGTCTACACAAGGATCATCCCTTAGCACGTTAACGCGTTAAAACCCAGACTCTTCAAGTGGGCAAAGTGTTCGTAAAACTCGGAGATACTGTACCAATTGTTATAATGTGGATTCCTAAACGTTAGGTCCAAAGATGGCGAAGAATTTAACACCAAAAGCTAGCACCTTTTGGTCCTAGTTTGGGCAGGTTCCTGAGCACCGACTAGACCCGAAAGTCTAGCGCCAGTCCTTGGGGACCGGCGTGGTACTGAACGTGTTAAACGCCACAGTGATCTCTACGAACCCGTGTTAGACTTTTCGTTTGAGCCCAGGCTTTCCTCTGGAGCCGTCAAGTGGGCCTAAACGGAATAGCAGGCAAAACAGACTGAGCGTTTAACGTGAAGTGGGCGAAGTGTTCGTAAAACTCGGAGATACTGTACCAATTGTTATAACGTGGATTCCTAAACGTTAGGTCCAAAGATGGCGAAGAATTTAACACCAAAAGCTAGCACCTTTTGGTCCTAGTTTGAGCAGGTTCCTGAGCACCGGCCAGACCCGAAAGTCTAGCGCCAGTCCTTGGGGACCGGCGTGGTACTGAACGTGTTAAACGCCACAGTGATCTCTACGAACCCGTGTTAGACTTTTCGTTTGAGCCCAGGCTTTCCTCTGGAGCCGTCAAGTGGGCCTAAACGGAATAGCAGGCAAAACAGACTGAGCGTTTAACGTGTTAACCCTTCGGTCCCGGTTCTGGGAACTCTGGAGATTAACTGAGTCTAGGAAGGTCTTGTAAAACCTATTCTACGTCAAGGGAAAATCCACGCACTTCGAGTATTTCGAAATGTCCAGACCAGAGACTCGTAGGGTTTAATCCTGTATCGTGCGATTGATTTCAACGATACAAAGATCTCGGCACTTCGATATCCTTGAAGGGATATCGTGAGGGATTAAATAAGCATTTAGGGGTCCTGGCCACGGTTGTTGAATATCGGTTTGCCACGGGTATCCTCGTTTGACCGTGGTGCTAGAAGAGACGAGAGGAAAAGGAAGGAATGCGTTTCGTTTCTCATCGGTAAAGCTTTCTAGCTGACTCTGCCTCAGATAGAGATACTTAAGTGGCATAGGAACTTCTACTTAAGGGAGGTCGAGGATTCACCGAGGACTTGCGAGAAAGTCCTCGAACCTCCTTTGAGTAGGCATCCATCTATTGGTGAGGTTGAGAATGATGGTTGCTACAAGCGAAAAACCCTATATCGGACTTCGTCGAAGTTTATTATATTATAGAAAACAGTGTAGCTCTTAGGAAAATGGTCTGTATCGAATCTATATCACCAACAACAGAGCTTTTCCAGCTCTGGTCCACTCGTCGTAGTCCTCGTGTCCGCGAGCCACGAAGGCTAATCGTAAAGACATAAACCAGGCCCCCATAAACTCGGGACCCTCAATGTCGGTAAAGTAGTTTTCTTCTTCGCC